AGAACATCCTCATAGCAGGAGATTTCCAGTTAGAGCTTGAGGGCCAGCCTTCTGCCATCCCTGCAGGATGGCCGGAAGCCTGGGAACACCATGGGTCTGCCCCTGTGTCTAAGGCAGGTGCTGCCTAGCCCAAGCCCCTCTCGGCATCCCCGGAGGTGTCCCCTTCTCCTCCCCCAATTTGTAGGGAGCCTTTGCCAGTTCTGAGGTATCGATGCTCCCACTAAAAATTTAACAGTTGGCCCACAAGAGTCGCCAGGCTGAGCACACCCCTGGCAGTTGCTCTCGGAGAGAAAACAGCCTGTGTCCTTCAGTTCTGCTGGGACATCTCTGTCCTTTGGAGAGGGGAAGGTAGTTCTGCCCAGGAACGCTTCTGATACTGGGCCCTGATTCCTCTTTGAACTCGACCAGTTCAGCTCCAAGCCTAGATGAGGATGCACCAGGTGGGAAGGATGTACTGAGGGCCTTGATTGCTTCTGCCCCCTGCTGGGAAAGTAGCAAAGGTGCAGGAAGGAACTGCCCCTTATACCGAGTAGGTGGCAGCCTGTCTTAGAAGTATGGTGTGACGGGCCTTGGTTTAAAAAAAAAAAGGCAAAACAAAATCCATCATAGTGCCATTAATACCACTATTAATCATGAAGGCACTGAAGGCCATTATTGGATTCAACAGTTAGTAAGCGCCTTTTCTGCAAAGCTGAGAGACAGTGTGATGTGTAAGGGACAGAGTTAGAGGTGAGAGAGCCAGGGTGGGGAATCCTGCCTCTGGGATGGCCTGGCTATATGTTGTTGTTTTTCAGTCAGTCGTCTCAGTCACATACAACCCTTCATGACCCCATTTGGGGTTTTCTTGGTGGAGATACTGGAGTGGTTTGCCATTTCCTTCTCCAGCTCATTTTACAGATGAGGAAACTGAGGCAAACAGGGTGAAGTGACTTGTGAAGGGTCATACAGCTAGTAAGTATCTGAGGCTGGATTTGAACTCAGGTTTTCCTGACTTGAGGCCTAGCCACGAAGCCAGATATATGGCTATATGGCTATGTGGCCATGGGCAAGTCAATTAACCTTCTCATAACCTCCAAATAATTCTCTGAGCTAGAAATCCAGATCTGGGAGGAAGTTTCTACCCCTGGGAGTTCTCAGGAATCATCAATGATACCAGATCTAGAACTGACCCCTTTCTTCCCATTAATTGCCATTGCTTAAAATGAGAATTCTACAGGCATTCATGAAACTGTCATTAGTCATTTTAAAATCTACATTACTCTGTCCCATTGGTCAATGAGGTCTCTTGGGTGATTACAAAATCCTGAGTGTGTAAGAACAAGCCTGAGGTGGGAAAAATGAACTTGGACCACAGAGTCTTGGTGGGTCAGCCCCCAGATCAGCATAGCAGAGGAGAGCCAATCTCTTGTCCTGAGGCTCTGAAGCAGAGGGGATCATGGGCCAGACCGGGTTCTTAGGCCGGGATTCATTTAATGTCCCTTATCTGCTCTTGAGTTTACCTTGATGTCTATGCCTGAGTCAGGATATGCTGTTTTCCCTTGTAAATAACCTCCAGAAAACATATTCCTGTTCTGGGGTGTTTGGAGACAAGGGTAGAAGAAATTACAGTTCAGGCATTCCTGGGATTTCTGAGACTAAAGTGGAATTCAAACTCAAGTCTCCTGACTGCTGGCCTTGTGCTCTTTCCAGGACCTTTATTTAGTCTAAGGGTTAGTTATATACTGAACTCTGGCTCTGCTGCATTACGGGGACTGAAGTGGAAAACAGGAAAGGGTTAGATGAGTTTAAAGACCTTTACCCAGGAGGAGCCCTCTACCTCAGAGGGGAAGAGGGAGGGCACAAACACTTGTCTGGTGCCTACAATGTGTCAGACACTTTACAAATATTATCTCATTTGATCCTCACAAACACCTGCTGACGTAGGTGCTGTTATTATTCTGTTTTACAGTTTAGACGGAGGTTAGATGACTTGTCCAGGGTCACACAGCTAGCAAGTGTCCAGGGCCAGTACACACTTCCGATGCTCCATCTAGCTGCTTCCAGAAGGGACATCAGGCCACTATGATCACACCCATTTTACAGATGTGGAAACCTAAGCTCAGAGGAGTCAGGTGACTTACCCAGCATCACATGTTACATAAATGTCAGAGCTGAGACTCAAACCTAGATCTTCTCATCTATGAAACCATGTGGTTGTTTCTGTCCTAACATACAGATGTGGTGCAGTGGGATGGAAGTCAGAGGATCTGAGTTCAAGTCCCAGCTTAGGTTGCCTGTGTGAGCATGGGCACGTGATACAGTCTCTCTGGGCCTATGTTTTTCCTCATCTGTAAAAAGAGGGGCTGCATTCAGTAAATCTACAAGCATTGATTAAGTACCCACCATGTGCCGGGCATGGTATTAGACACTGAAGATGCACAGACAAAAGTGAAGTAAGCCTTGCTTACCTCAAGGAGCTTACGATACAGCTAGGGGAGGAAACACATTTATAAAGGTGAACCCAAAACAGACACAGACTTATTTTGGGGGGGGGCAGGGAGCCATTAGCTACAGGGATCTGGATAGGCACCTTATAGAAGGTAGTGTTAGAGCCTTGAAGGAAGCCATGCATGCCAAGGGTTGGCAGTGAGGAGGGAGTGCATACCAGGTGTGGGTGACAGCCAAGGCAAAAGCCTGGAGGTGAGAAATGAAGAACCCCAAGAAGGCCAATTTCAGTGGACCACAGTGTCAGTAAAAGGGAGAAATGCACAACCAGACTGGGAAGGCTGGTTGTCTCCAAGTTCATCATTCAGTCTGTTGCCACGTGCTGCCCTTCCTTCTTCTGTATGTCCCCTCTCTCCCCACCCACAGATGCCTCCTCGGTGAAGGTCCCGATTTCTTCACGCCTAGGCAATTGCAATAGCTTTGGAATTGGTCTCTCTGCACTCCAATCCATCCTGGATGGGTTTCATGACCTTTGAGTTTCCTTCTAGCTCTCAATCTCTGGCCCCACGAGAAGGAAGGTCCAGGGCGTAGGGCTCATCCCCTCTGTGTGCCCATGGCCAGCCCAATGGAGAATGTTGCTGAAACATTCCTACAGCTCCCTGCCTCCTTCCCTAAATTGACAGGCAGGCTTCTTGAGGAGTTAGCTCCTGTAGCTTGACCACCAGGAAAGATGAGGGCAGTAAATTACTCCCCTGCTGACTCCCCTCCCCCTCTCATCCCAGTGGACCTGCTTTCCGTTCCTAAATCCTCCATCAGACTCTAACAAAAAGCAGATTCCTGGAGGGTCCCAGAGAGCACTGTGGCCTCTGAAAATGAGAGAGCCATATTTCCCACATCAAGCTTCTTTCTTTCTCCTTTCCATTTTAGTCACTGTTCATTGGAGAAAGCTTTCCCCTCTTTGCCAAGAATCATTTTTCCTCTTTGGACACTTCTTAGCCCCATCTCATCCCAGGCACAAACCCCAGCTATTTGCAACTGATGCATTTCAGCTTTGTGGAAGTGAGTTGTTTTACCCAGCAAGTCTGGCCCTCCCTCAAGCCCTCTCATGAAACCCCAAGGCTAGATCCTAGACCTGGCTCTCCACCAAGCAAACATTTCAGAAAAGATGCCCTTCCCCCTGCTCACTTGCAAAATCTATGGACAACCACCCCCAGCGTGAGCTTCTCAGCCTATTTTGTACATCTGTGGTGAGATCCAAAAAGGAGTATTACAGCTGGAAAGGCAGAGTTGTAACTAGAGTGGGGCCTCTGGACCTTTGCCCTGGGGTGCTGAAATTTAGAGAGGCTCCACTGTGCTTGCATTCCTGTAACAACCTAGAAACAACTGAGATTAGCCCCTAGTTAGCAGGAATAGTTAGTTAAAATAGGAAGCAGCTGGATGGACCACCCAACCCTCCTCTAATAATGGCTCACACCCCAGGTGAGTCCCTTCCTGGCTGCTTGCCTCTGGTGGAAAATGTCTACTTACGGCTCTTCTAGAAAAGGTCTTAAATATCAAGTGACGTGTGCTAGGCTCTTAGGGATCTTTGGGGTCTTGGTCTTATGGTCCCAACCCCATTGGGTGTGGGTTTAATTCTGAATGCGTGACTTAGTTTCAGAATCAGAGGGTTGACCCCTAGCTCAGAATCCCAGAATCTCAAAGTTCGAAAGAATCTAAGATGGTTCCAAACCAGAGCAGACCAAGAATTCTCCTTCCAGCAGAGCAAGCAAATGGTCATCTAGCTTCTGCTTATAGCCCTCCAGTGATGGGGAACTCATTACTTCCCCCAACCCAATCCACTTCCATTCCACTCTAATGATTAGGAAGTTTTTTCCTGATATCAAGCCTACATTTGCCCCTTTGTAATTCCCATCTTTTATTACTAGTTCTGTTCTCTGAGGCCAAGCAGAAAAAAAGGAAATTTTTCCCACATAACAGCCACTCAAATACTTGGGGACAGATATCATGGCTTCCCTGAGCTTTCCTTTCTCCAGGCTAAGTGCTCCTTCCCGGGTTTTCAGCCAATCCTCCAATGGTGTCATCTCTAGTCCCCTGGGGTTCTGGTCACCTCTCCAGTACCCTCTAGCTTCTCAACGTCCTCCCTAAAATGTCCTTCCTGAAAAACAGTGCTCGGGATTGACCAGGATACTCTAGATGTGGTTTGAGTGAGGACAGAGAACATAATATCTAAAAAGAAAAGAAGAGGGTTAAATTTCCTGGATTTGGGGTAAATAAGAGTACATAGCAGAGGACTTGGGTTTGAATCCTAACTGATGTCTTTGCTAGGCCTCGGTTTCCTCATCTGTAAAATGAGGTGTTGGACTAGATTGGGGGGTTCCTTTGGATCTCTGGTGATTCTGTGTTCCAGGAAGGGCAGTGATATCATCTCAGATGACCCTCATTGAATCCTGTGTTCATTCATTCATTCATGCATTCAGAATTAATTATTAAATCCTTCCTGGACCCTCTTGAGACCCACCCTGCCCCTCTAGCACTGAGAAACTCTGCTCTAATTAATTGTTTGTGATTTCTTTCAGGAGTGATCGTGGATCTAAGTGGATTCTCTACCCCTCCCTGCTAATGATCTTCTTCTTCAGCCTGGGCCAAGGGCACAGATGACTCTGACCCAGTGATGCCTATCTGTAGCTCACATCCTCCAAATCACCTGTCCTCCTCTGAGATGAACATCCTTGCTCAGACTGTCAATGGACCGGACAGAGAGAGATCATGAAAAGATCTCACTTTCTCAAACTCTCTTCTCTTCCTTCCCTGACTTCATCCAAGCCCCACTGGCCCTTCCCTCTTTGGCAAGGAAGAGTGGAGACAGAAGATGGAACGGTTTCCCCTTGCCCAGCATTCTTGGGCCATTGCCAAAGATTTGACCGACTTTTATCTGTTTGAATGTCACATGGTTACTTTTTGTTTGGAAATATCCCCCTCAAAGAGAAGTCAGGAATTCCATCTGGATCCCACAGAAAGAGTCAGCTCCTAGGGACGGACAGATTCTGAGCCCTCAATGCTCCTCCTCTGGGTCCCCTTTGGCTCCCAAGTTCCCAGGACCTCGTTTGGGCTACAAACAAGCATTCCCAAATGGAGACCCACAGATGTTTCAGAGTTGGGTGCAACGGGGACAGTCAGAGGGTGGGAGGATTGGATCCTGTTCTCTGCCGAACACCTCTTTGCCCTCTACTCAGCCTTATAGCTCAGGGGGCACCCCCCATATCTCTGTGGGGTCGGGAAGCTGTGACTCCTGCTCCTTTGCCCACTTAGGGGGACTAGGAGACTGGGGGCTTGGGAGAGGGCATTTCCTCACTTTCTTTTAGCCAAACCAAGACATGTGAAAGGCCTCCCAGGATCTTCTTGTGGCCAACAAGAGGGGAGCAAAAGGATTGTTTTTTCTTTTCAGGGTCATGGGGGGGAGGTGGGAAGGGCAGGGGGCTCATTCATTCCAGATCCTACAGGCAGAGGGACTGACTGAATGCCTGACTTGGGGAGGGAAAGATGTGGGGGAAGTGGGCTAGCCTGGAGAGTGGGGCTAGCCTGGAGAGGAGCTCCTATGGCTTCTCCCGGACCTCCTCCTGCTCTAATGGCTAAAGCATCTTATTTCTATGCTTTACTGTTTGCTTCAAATTGAAGTAAAAACCAAAAAAAATCTATATGGAGAAACACACTTGCCAGACCGAGTGGATTTTGTGGTGGACATAGATTTGTATTGTTGAAATTATTACAATTAACATGAATAGAGTATTTGGAAATAAAAAAGTACATTGTCTGAGGCAGCGTGGCATAGAGTGGTGGTTGCCAGTTAACAGGGGTCCCCCTGGGGATTTGAGACAATGGTTCAAGGGATTCAGTGCTAAAAATCCTTTCGTGGCAGTAAATAATTGCAAAATATTATGAGTAGTATATTAAATTACCTTGAAGGTTTACAACACATTTTAGAAGCACAGTGGAGGGGTTGGAGTCAGAAGACCTGAATTCAAATCTAGCCTCAGACACTTACTAGCTGTGGGATTCTGGGCAAGTCACTTAACCTTTGTTTGCCTCAGTTTCCTCATATGTAAAATGGGGATAATAATGGCACCTCCCTCCTAGTGTTGTTGTGAGAATCAAATGAGATAATAACTATAAACACTCGGCACCAAATCTGCACATAGTAAATGACGTATAAATAGCTGCTATCATCATCATTATTATTATTATTTTGTTGAAGTGGTTTAAGGAACAAAACCAGTTAGGAACCCTTGGTATAGAGGGGATGATGAACCAGCCTCGGAACGAGGCTGAGCGAGTCTGAGTCCCATCTCTGACACAGGTTTGCTGTGTGACTCTGGGGAAGGTGACTTCAAGGTGCCAACCCACATTGGTGGAGGTGTTGTACCGAGAAATCAGCGAGTGAGACCCAGACGTGATTTAAGATGTGGATTTATTAGCGCGCGGCTGCCACAGGTATGCACATCCAAATCAAGCAGCCCCCATCAGGGGTCGAGCTAGGGTTTATATAGAAAAGAGCAAGGGGAAGAAATGCGAGGAACACTGATGAGGTAATCCAAAGATGCAGGTGTCTTGGGGGGCTATGGATGGGAAAGTACAGGGAGTATACAGGACAGGGAGGGGGATGGATCTTTGAAGTCTGGCAAGAGGAAGAGTTCTTGGGCTGGTCAAGGACTCCCCTCTCCCTTTGTCTTGACATGAGAATGCTCTGCAACAAAGGAAAGCTTTCTCACAACACAGGAACTTACTGAGGAATTGGGAGGCTTCCAGAGACCTGATCTGAGGGCTGGGGCCTGAGCAGCCCAGTTCTGTGTAGCTGTACCAGGGAGAGAGATAAGGGTCATGCTGAGGCCCATGCCTGAATAACTGCTAGGCACAGTGTCCTTGGGCTGGGGAGTGGTTGTCAGAGACAGTGTTTCTGAGGCTAGGGAGAAATTGGGGCACAAGTACAAGCACAAGCACCCGAGCACCCCATTATTACAGGTCAGAGATCACACAAACCAGACCAGGCGTCCTGGCCTCTGGTATAAACATAATTATCTAAAGCAATTATATTGCAAGCTTTCTTATCCATTTGTGTTGGAGGTACGGGCTGTGCTGAGCTATGCAAGAGTACATTTCACTATTGTTTAGATTTAGGAGGAAAGAGGTCTGGGGCAAGATGAAGCACCAACTTTTGTTTTCCATGGCTTAAAGGGCCCTACTACCTAAATGGCAAAATAATGTTCTCTTTTACAGAGGGAGCTTCCCCAGCTGGAAGTTCCCTATACCCAGGACATCACGGGTCTAGTCCTCACCCCTCATCTCACTCAAGTCCCACAAAGAGCCAGTGAGGTAGGTCCTATAGATAACATTATACTCATTTTACAGATAAGTAAATAGATTCAGAGATATTCATTCAATTCAATAAATATTTCTTAAGTGTCTACTGTGTGCGAGGCACCGTGCTAAGAACTGGGGATTCAAAAGAGGCAAAAGACAGTCCTTGCCCTCAAGAAACTTACAGTCTCATGGAGGAGGCAACTATAAACACATAGATACATCAGGTTATTTGTTGTTCAGTCAGTTTCAGACTCTTTATGACCCCATTTGGAGTTTTCTTGGCCAAGATACTGGACTGGTTTAGCCATTTCCTTCTCTAGCTCATTTTACAGATGATGAAACTGAGGCAGATAAGGTCAAGTGACTTGCCCAGGGTCACACAGCTAGTAAGTATCTGAGGCCAAATTTGAACTCCAGGCTCAGCCCTTTATCCACTGGGCCACCTAACTGCTCAAGCAAGTGTATACAAGATAAATAGGAAATAACCAGCAGAGAGAAGGCACTGGAATTAAGAGGAGTGGGGAAGGCTTCCTGTAGAAGATGAGCTTTCAGTTGGGACTTAAAGGAAGTGATTTGCCCAAAGTCAAACAAGTATTAGGTGCCAGCAGGCAGGATTCACACTCAAGTCTTCCAGACTTCCAAGTCCAGCCCTCTAGCTATGAGGCCTTTCCATAAGGGCAGGAATGGTGACTGTGTAGCATTCCCTCCAACAGGTTCTAAGAGACAAGTGAAAAGAAGATTTTCCCCCTTTCCCCTTCCCCCAGCACCCCTGCTCAGATCGGTGATCTCTTGTCCCCCTCTCCCTTCTCCCCTTCCCTTCAGCACCCCTGCTCAGATTGGTGACCTCTTGTCCCCCTCTCCCTTCTCCCCTTTCCCCCCTCACCCCTGCTCAGATCGGTGACCTCTTGTCCCCCTCTCACTTCTCCCCTTCCCCCCAGCACCCCTGCTCAGGTCGGTGACCTCTTGTCCCCCTCTCCTTTCTCCCCTTCCCCACCCACCCACCCCCATCATCTCACTTCCCATATCCCTGTTTGACTGCACCACAGGTGCTGTGGCCTAATGGAGACATCTCCCATTGTGGAGGCATCAGGGCACCTGGGTTCTTGTCCTAACTTTGCCAGTGTGTGTGGCCCAAGGTAAGATTTCACCTCTGCAGGCCTCTGTTTGCCTATGTACAAATTGAAGACGACTGTCCTCATGGAGGAAAAACCTGAGGTGAGGGATGGAAAAATGGGGAATGGGGCTGAGCAGATACCTTGTGAATGTCAACTCTTGGATCCTGTCCTCTGCTGCACACCTCCCTTCCTATTTGCCCTCTACTCAGCCTTATAGCTCAGGGGGCACCCCCATATCTCTGTGGGGTCGGGAAGCTGTGGCTCCTGCTCCTTTGCCCGCTTGGGGGAACTAGGAGACTGGGGGCTTGGGAGAGGGCATTTCCTCACTTTCTTTTAGCCTGGAGGTCAATTTGGTCCCATAGAAAGCCCCCTGTGGGGAGCTGATGCTGGGCTGGGAAGGGAGAAGAATTGGGATGCCCTCCAGACCTCAAACCAGAATGGATGAAGAAGCATTGTAATCGATTGGAGATCAATGGACTAAGTGTCAGGGCCATGCCACTCATTGGCACGATGACCCGGGCGAAGGCAGGTCACCTGTCAGGGTCTAGATTTCCTCATCTGCAGAACTAAGGGTCTGGACTAGATCAGATCTAAGGCTTTTCAAGCGCTGGTGTTCTCCAAGATCCATGAATGCCCCTCCTCACACGGAGCCAACTTGTAGCTAGTCCTCTAGGGCACAGACAGAGTCAATCCAACTAAGGACTACGAAGTCTCTAAGTGCCTGCTATGGACCAGGGGTATTCCTGAAGGTGCAAAGATAAAAGAAAGAGTTCTTACCCTCTAGAGGTTTATGTTCTGCTAGTGTTGGGGAGACAGTCTGTACCCAGATAAATACATTTGAGAATTTAAGAAGGCCCTCTTGTATTGAGAGCCCCTTGGGTGGCTCTTCAGTTAAGGCTCAAAGGGGGTTGGGGGCTCTTAGAGGTGGAGGTGGGGAGGCAAAGCATTCCAGGCCTAGATGAAAACCTAAGCCAAGTAAGGGAGGGAGGAGATGGAATGGAATATTATAGCTAGGCTAGGGCCAGATCAAATGAAAGTTTAATTAAAGAATGGAGGACGAGGGTAAGGAGATGGAACAGGAAAGGATATGACCTTGTGTGTAGCCCTAGGGACCCAGGAATAGAATGGCAAGCATAGGTCACCAAGTCCACCAAGCCAAACTTCTCTCCTACTAGTCCCTAAATCCTATTTTCTGTGAAAGTAAAAAGCATGGACAGACTGTGGGACTAATGATGCTTCATGGACTTCTCACTATGGAGGGTATGTAAAGATCCCACCCCCAAACTAAAGCCAAAACCCAACTTCAGACTGAGTACCATCATTCCTTTCCAGGCTCAAGTAATGTAGGAGGAGGCAGCTGGTATAGTGGAAAGAAAGAACACTGACTTTGGGGTACAAGGACCTGAGTTCAAATCCCAAATCTGATGCTGTATAACCTTGGGCATAATCACAATCTCCACGAGCCTTGGTTTCCTCATATGTAAAACAACGGGGTTGTATTAGGGGGTCTTTGAGGTATCCTACAGTCCTAGATCTGTGATTCTAGGAATAACCCTGAATCAGACCTACATCCCACCCTTCACATCATTTCGTCTGCAAGCTGTTGGAGAGGACTCTTCTCTGGAAAGTGACCTCAGTGGGTAGGTCCCTGTCAAGCACCTTTAAATTGAATCCAACCACAGTTTTCATCATCCATTTATTCCAGTTCTTGTTCGAAACTCAGGCCATGATTCCCCAACCAACTGAATAGCTAAGCGGAGATAACTGCACTCACAATGATAATAGTGCATATATATGCATATATGGTAGATATTTTGTATATAAAGCAAGCATTTAGTCAACAAGTCAATAAGTATTTGTTAAATGACTATCACATACGAGGCACTATGCTAAGTGCTGCGGATCCAAAGAAAGGCAAAACTTAAGCAAATCAAAATAAACAAAAAGAAATCCATGCAGGAATGTCAACAGTTTAACTTCATTGAATCCCTTATGATTACTTTTTCACGTTTACCTATTTATGCTTCTCTTGAGTCTTTTATTTGAATGTCAAATTTTCTACTCAGTTCTGGTCTTTTCATCAGGAATACTCAATTTCATTAAATATTCATTTTCCTCCCCTGAAGGATTATACTCAGCTTTGCTGGGTAGGTGATTCTTGGTTGTAATCCTAGCAGCTTTGCCTTCTGGAATATCATATTCTAACCTCCCCACTCCTTGAATGTGGAAGCTGCTAAATCTTGTGTGATCCTGAAGGTGGCTCCACGATATTTGAATTGTTTCTGTCTACTTGTAATATTTTCTCCTTGACCAGAGAGCTCTGGAATTTGGCCATAATATTCCTG